TAGTAAGGCACCTGTTACTACTAGCGTGGCACTTGTTACTAGTAGCTAATGACATCATAAGTTGTTGCACGTTCGGGGCATTTTGTTTAAGGTTTGGGAGTGGTCATCGCACTGAACTCTGTGACCATTGGCCTGGAAACCGATTCGGTTGCGCATGCAGTAGCAACACAAGAAGAGCACGACGATCGTTTGTGGTACATCGTGGAACTGATTTTTTGCATCTTTTTTTTGTTTGAACTCTTGCTTCGTTTGTACTTTCATCGCCTGCGCTACTTCACCAACCCGGTGACACGAGCATGGAATGTGGCTGACTTCGTCATTGTCTCGGTCTCCGTGGTGGACACGTTGATTCTCATCCCTTTCGGTGTGGGTGGCACGGCCCGGGCCAAGAACTCAGAGATGTCGACAGACTTCGGTGAGCCTTCTTGTTACTAGTAGCGAACCTTGTTCCTAGTAGTAAGGCCAGGAGCCCCTAGTAGCGTCCTTGCTCCTACCATCTCCTACCTGTTTGCTGTGTTAGAATCAATCATATGATATCGTATGTACTTCACATCGAGGTGGTGGCAATGCTACGGTTTGTGAGGATGATGCGCTTGGCACGATTGCTGCGGCTCCTGAAACTCTTCAAAGAGCTATGGCTGATGGTCAGCGGCCTCCTGCAGTCCTTAAAAACTTTGGGATGGATTTGTTTGGTGGCACTTCTCTTTTGCTATGCTTGCGTCACTTGGCAACAGGTCTGGTTGACCCAAAAAGGGTCAAAGACCTTGAAAGAGTTGTTTTGTTTTTTCCTGAATTCCAACATATATCAACAATGTTTTTGCACAAGAAGGGCGAAGAAAGTTACCAGTTGCCCAGAGGAGTTGTGAAGTCCCCCAATTGTGCCTCACTACGACTTACCAAACTTGCGACAAAATTTGACCCTTCGAAACTGAAGACATCTAAAGCACTTTGTCGACAGCATGATAAACGCCACAAACTTGCCCGTCATCTCTTGTACCAAAGACAATTACGATCAAAACGCATTGACTGTTGGCTGTTTGTGGGGTCACTTAGTGCACTAAGTAGTGCACTAGTAGATCCACCATCCCACTCCCGATGCCGGCGAACGTGAGTTTGCACGTGAGCTATACCTGGATCCTCCTTTGGGCTGAGCAAAGTGCCGGACCTCAATCCGGCAAAATGTTCCGCCGGACTCCCAAAAAGATGCCGAGGACCTGAAAGAACATCCGGATCCAAGATTCTGAAAAACAGAGATGATGAAAGGTAGGATCATACACAAGCAAACTGTCTTTGCGCCATGAGTAGTTTTTCTGGAACACACTCATTCCACAGCCCAACACTGGAGCCTTCCCGTTCCTATTGCCCTCGCCCATCTTCCGAAATGCCTAAGAGCAGAACCATCACAAAGTATTAGCAAACTTGTGCCCAAGCAAAGACTTCCAAGAACAAACCGAGTATGTGGCAAGGAGCCCCTCTTTCTGTGCAACCGTGTCTCTAAAGTTCTTTTACAACGTGGGTTGCTCTTCAGGATTTTGTAGCTTGCCTCAGGATCTCGATCCCTTTAAAAAAATATAAAACTTTTCAAGATTCAACACCTTCAAAAGACTGAGTCTTTCTTTTTTTCTCTTGCGCCAAGGACGTTTGTCTGCGGCAGAATGCATTAATTGGCATTCAAATTATGCCCTTTGTTCCCGAAGTCTTGCCCCATCTCCGCCGTGGAATCAAAAGAAGCATTGAGAGCCGTCAACACGTCTCCGAACACAGGGGCTGGTGTACTGACTTCAGGAATGGGCTGGCTATCGGCGCACAGCGTTGCGATCGCTTCGCAAAAGTCGGGCGGGTAGACCTTCAATTCTGAAGTCTTCCACTTACCCTCTGTGTCCTTTCCGATAGCCGTCGTAAGCGGTAGTGGTGTAGTCCGCTTAGACAAAAGGGTCTTTGTTGCATTGTCCGCAACGTTCACAAGAAGGAGGTCAGTGGGTTTGACAGTTTTGCCCCCATAGAACCCCTGAAGCACACGGACTTTGCTGACCCTTTTGTAGAGCTGGAGCAGTTTCATGATGGCTGTTTTCCAAATGGAGACAAGCCACGGCTCATTCTCATCTCCAGCTGGGTGCTCTAGTACACCGGTTTTCCCGTGCACAAGAGCTATACACAGCAGTTTGACCGCAAGGCAAGTAGACGTGATCCAAAGGTGACTTGTTCATCTTCCTTTCGAGCAAGGCCCACTCGGCCATAGGGTCGTGCATTGGTTCGCACAACGCGCGGTCCAGAAGTGCCCTCACAAAGGGGGTTGCCGCGGGCTCGCGACCATGTTTCACATGGGGGCCCCGCAACAATTCCCTGGAGCACATTCTCTTCTAGCGCTCTCTTGAAAAGTGCAAAAGTTTCAGGTCGATTTAGGTCACCAAGAGATCATGGCATAGCCTTTCTTTTCGATACAATCTTGGACATCAGCAAAGCGTCTGTGCCCTGAGAACAAATGGGCAAAAATGACTGGTGTATAAACAGGCCGGTAACACACGAAGCTCTGATCTTGGAGCGTCGCTGTCGTCTCAATTTGCAGGACTGCGTTCTGATTCGAGCAATTCTTAATGGCGCCTGTCTGGAACCAAAAGGTTCGAAAAGATACCAATGCTTGCAAAGTGATCTCTTCACTCTTTGATATTTGGGCTTGCCAATCTTTAAAGGCTTGACGAATTTCTGCTGGGAAGAGAGCAGTTTGCTTCGTAGCATTCCTTAGTTGATCGACAAGCAACGCGTCTTCTGTGCACTGACTAAAAGCTTGTGTCCATGCCAAAAGGAGCTTACTTGCCTCTCCTGCAATGAAGGGATCGCCCTGACTAGGGGTCTCTGCTTGAGATCGAGGCCCTTCACCTTGCAAACTGGGTCGGGAATAGGCTCTCTGGCTTTGCAAGCCTTCTTGCTGTTGACTCCTGGCTCTGGTTCGACCAGAATGGCACCCGACATGTAGTGCTGCAGGCATCGCTTGCTTCGTTTGACATGGTTCTGCAAGTTCAATACTGATGAAAAATGCTTCATTCTCTTCTAGGTTGGAGGCCATTGCTTTTAGGTTGGAGGCCACTGCTTCTAGGTCGGAGGCCATTACTCTAGGTTGGAGGCCATTGCTTTTAGTGGGAGGCCTTCGCTTCTAGGTTGGAGGGTGCTCTGGCGGCATGATTTTGCACTTGTCTACTGTCTCCAGTCC